TTGTGTGGTGTGTGTGTGTGTTGTGGTGTGTGTGTGTGTGTGTGTGTGTGTGTGTGTGTGTGTGTGTGTGTGTGTGTGTGTGTGTGTGTGGTGTGTGTTGTGTGTGTTGTGTGTGTGGTGTGTGTGTGTGTGGTGTGTGTGTTGTGTGGTGTGTGTGTGGTGTGTGTGTGTGTGTTGTGGTGTGTGTGTGTGTGTGTGTGTGTGTGTGTGGTGTGTGTGTGTGTGTGTGTGTGTGTGTGTGTGTGTGTGTGTGTGTGTGTGTGTGTGTGTGTGTTGTTGTGTGTGTGTGTGTGTGTGTAACCCGGAGCCAATTTGCTGTCTGCGGCGGTGTTTTGTGTTCGCAGCTGTATTTGATGGCGCTGCAGAGAGAGAGTGATGGAGCTGGTGATTTACAGCCTCTTACCGTATATAATGCACACACACACACACACACACTCCACAGGCCTAAGGGGAGTCAGAGGAGGTGTTGAGGGGGGGGGGGGGGGGGGGGGTCAGGAGACGCAGGTGGTGATGCTCGGGGGCACCCAGGGGTCCGATCACCAGGCTGTGGTCCTCATCTGCCATGTGGGCACAAGAGGAACAAGTCAATTTACTCGTACTTGAATTTACTTGAGTATTCCTATACCTATTTATCTGAGAGAGGAAGTTGCATTACAAACATGTGATAAACCTTTAAAGAGTCCTCTCCTGCTGATGTTCAGGTGTATATCAGTATGTAGTGTCTCTACTTTAAAGAGTCCTCTCCTGCTGATGTTCAGGTGTATATCAGTATGTAGTGTCTCTACTTTAAAGAGTCCTCTCCTGCTGATGTTCAGGTGTATATCAGTATGTAGTGTCTCTACTTTAAAGAGTCCTCTCCTGCTGATGTTCAGGTGTATATCAGTATGTAGTGTCTCTACTTTAAAGAGTCCTCTCCTGCTGATGTTCAGGTGTATATCAGTATGTAGTGTCTCTACTTTAAAGAGTCCTCTCCTGCTGATGTTCAGGTGTATATCAGTATGTAGTGTCTCTACTTTAAAGAGTCCTCTCCTGCTGATGTTCAGGTGTATATCAGTATGTAGTGTCTCTACTTTAAAGAGTCCTCTCCTGCTGATGTTCAGGTGTATATCAGTATGTAGTGTCTCTACATGTCTCCATGCTTTAATGTTCAAAAAGCTCTTTATTTTTCCTCTTTTCACCCTCTGTCTGAAACCAGAGCCCAGTCTGCTCTGATTGGTTAGCTAGCCGGCTCTGTTGTGATTGATTAACCGCTTAGATTTGTCCCGCCCCCTTAGCCTATCACGTACAATGTGTTGGAGCGCTAGCTAATACAAGCGTGAGGGTTACATAGTGATGTCACTAGGTTCAGGAGGTAAACAAAGGAAGTCCAATGGAGGCGTTTCAGGAAGGGGGGGGGGGACAGAATATGTTGAGCCGCTGCAGAGCATTTACACATCACATACATAACACATAAAGCACAAAAAGGGCCTCCTTTGTATTAGAATCACAAAGAAAGGATCTCCTGCAGAGCGTGCTGCAGCAGCAGGACATTAGGCGTAAATAACTGAGAGTATTAGCGTCCCTCCCTGCCTCTGATCGGCTCTCTAATTAAAGTCAGGTGAGTCTGATTATTATTCTGAGAGCGTGTGCAGCCACTCGGTGATGGATTGTGATCTCTCTGCGGCTGAAACGCTAGAAAGAGCACAATGTCTTACAGCGGGAGCCACTGATAACTTCACGCAGACAAATAAAGACTGTCACTTTTATTGATTTTCACCCCCACACCCCCCCTCCACCATATACACCCACACCCGCTGCTCCATCCCTGTCTGTGTTTTAACCCCCCCTCCCTCCCTCCCTCCTGCACACCTCCATCCCATCAAAGCCCCCCTTTAATGGGGAGGCGTCCAACAGCAGGCACGGAAAACGTTCCTACTCTCAAAGTGTAGCACATAGGAAGATCTGTAGGAGTGGCCAAGGGGCAAACAATGGGGATTTATTTGATTTAAAGGCAGGTTTGATTTGTAACCAGGCAATTCAAACATTAAAAAATAAATACACAAGGACATTAAGAAAACACAACAATAAAAGGTTGACCCCTTGTCTGTCTCTCTTGCTAAATAAACGTGCATACTGTATATACAGGCATAACGTCATGGATGGAAAATCACTTTCAAGATACAAAATCATTGTGAGAAGATGTGAAATAAATACAAATGACTTATCATATTATATTCATCCGTAGTTAATCCCCCAAGTCTGTTTCTCCTTATAAATAAATGTGCGTTCTGTACATACAGATATACAATGATAAATAATGTAAAGCAATCATTTGTAGTCAAACGTTTTTAAATAATACACAAGGCATTGAGAAAAGATAATATGAAATGAAATGGGTCATCGGAAATGTCATCAACTTTTAGGAAGTGGAATAAAAATTGTGATTTATTGGGCAAGTTTATTTGTAACCAGACAATTCAAACGTTTTTAAATAAACACGAAACAAAAAGGCATTAAAAAATATGTGTCCTTTTATCCCTCCGTCTGTTTCTCCCTCCAGATAAACGTGTGTACTGTACATACAGATATCAAATGTTAAATAAAGTCAGCAGGATGGAGGGGAAATTGTCTCCTAACAGCGTGGCGGCGGCACATAACGAGAAATGCAATTTATTCGTAGGCACGTTGCTGCTCGGACAGCCACATAATGAAAGGCATAGGTCATTGACGGAGACTTAAACCTGCAGCGGCGGAGAGAAATACATTAATAAATATCCACAACATTACTCCTAACCCACGGAGGGAGGGAGAGGTGGGGGGGGGGGCTCCTTATCAAACACCAGAACACAATTAGTGTTGCAGCCTCCTGCAAATCATAATATCCCCGATCATTGACATGTGAATATCCATTACAGCCGCCCTGTGGGAGGAAGGTGAAGCGTGCCGTCACTTTCACTCTGCGGGCCACATGGGAGACTTTACTGTCTGTTGCATACATGTGAGAGCAGGAGAACACATCTTACAAAGAGTAGAAACAATTCAATGATGTGTGGTTTGCAGAGATCCACAGGTATGGAAGGAAATTCATAACAAAACTATCTTTATCTGTGTCTGCTTCTAAAGAGGCTCTACTTGGCTTTTTGGTGTTTTCTCTTCCCTGTAGGTTTTAGTGCATGTGAATGGTCTGCAAAGGCTACAATCCCTGTGTTTCTCTCCCACACACTTGCCTGATACGCCTTCATTGGACTCCTTTGTTGTACTTCCTGAACATAATGACATTACATTACATGTCACTTGTTAGACGCTTTTATCCAAAGCGACGTACAATGACATCACTTTGAAACATTCGCGTTTCCATTGGCTAGCGCTTCAACAAAATGTACGTGATAAGGGGCGGGACATCTCTAAGCCGTTGACCTATCACAACAGAGCTGTCCAGCTAACCAATCAGAGCAGATCTGGGCTCTGGTCAAAACATCTTAAAAATATAAATATTAGTTTTATTTTAATAATCATTTTCATTTTAAATTACTTAAAGGTGGGGTAGGTAAGTTTGAGAAACCGGCTCGAGATACACTTTTTGTTATATTCCATGGAATGCTCTTAACATCCCGATAGCAATGAATATCTGAAATGCTTTGACAAAAAATCCATAAATAAATATCATCTGTGGAAGCTGTAGTACTGTAAAAAGCACGACCAATCATCTGAGCCGGCCCGGCTAAAATAACTGGATGGCCTACCTGCCTGTCAGCCTTCCATCTGTGCACAAACTTATCTCGTGCCCTCATTGGTCATGTGCGCGTTCGTGTGTGTTGGAGGAGGGGCTCTGTGAGGAAGTGGTAGATTTTCTCCGGTTGTGTATTTTCTAATTCTCGCGCACTCGAGCTGGTTTCTCAAAATTACCTACCCCACCTTTAAATGTCAACAAATATTTTTCTCTCAATCTCTCAAAAACCTGTTCTTATAAAAACTGTTGGCTACTTTAATTTACACCAAAACATCATATGTTATAAACCCTAAACACATCATATTATATCAATTATTTTGTATCCAAATGAATTCATTTGTAACGTTACTTTATGTAAAACTGAAAATATAAAAACTCACTACAGTTTACTCAATGCTAGATTAGATTAGGTCTGTTCTCAACCTGTTGATTCTGTTGGAGCCATTTGCTAAACCACTCTGTTTACGTGTTAGCAGAGAGCAGGTGTAAAATATATATTGATGTATATAAACATACGTCGGTGAGGTTATCCATTAATGCTCTGAGAGACGAGGCTGGTCAATAACACATCTCACGGCCGGTGAACGGGCATGAAAGGCGGCAATTATTCTGCACTAAGAAAAAATAACAGAACGGGTGATTCTCAGAGAAGTAGAAAACACATGGGAGCATTTTCTCCATAAAGAGGGTCTCTATTAGAACATAAACACCTAAATACTCAGACAATTGGTGCCATGTTTAGGTGGGGGTTCAATTTGTATTAGATATTCTACTTAAAGAAGCAATACTGACTTCTTCAAATCGTTTTTTGATTTGATTTGATTATGATTTGATAAGTGTAAAGGAGTAAAACGTACAATATCGGCTTCCTAAATGTAGTGGATTAAGAGTATCAAATGGCGATACTCAGTTAAAGTACTTAGAAATTGTACGTCCGATTTGTATTATTCTGGTGGTGCGAACATAAAGAATCTAAGAAAATAAGTTGCAAAGTAGGTAGAAAGATAAATATATTAGGATAATAATAAATAAGTATTGTTAAGAAACAATTTAGCATTCAAAAGGGATGCTAAAGACAAGTATTTACACCAAATTAAAATGCAAACTATGCAAATAACCTTAAAAACAACTTAGGACAATGAGTATATGGCAAACTACAGTGTATTATATTTTAAAGTGGAGTGCTGTGCAGACATGTGTGCAAAGATGTGCAAAAAGCAAGTGGTATACTTTGTCCTTTTTCACATGAAGTAACATTTCCCCCCCCCCCCGTTTTCCCCCATCTTTGCAGCCGGGGACCATCCATACGAGTGTGAGTTCTGCGGGAGCTGCTTCCGGGATGAAAGCACGCTGAAGGGCCACAAACGCATCCACACCGGAGAGAAGCCCTACGAATGTAACGGCTGCGGGAAGAAGTTCAGCCTCAAGCACCAGCTGGAAACTCACTACCGCGTGCACACAGGTACGGAGAGCAAAACTCAAAGTCTGCACGCTCAAAGACAACTATTTGAAGAGTTAACTGATGTATAGCAACTGATGAGGATGATGAAAGGTTTGGGAAGTGTTTGAGATGAGTTATGTGCAGGAAATATTGATTTAGGAACAGTTTATCCTTCTGCAGAACCTGGAGTTGCAACACAGTCTCACGGCATTTCGTGTTATTAGTCACGAAATTAATCTATTGATTCGTGTTCACCAACACGATTTCGACATTTTTTTCGTGTCACACAGAACGATTTGAAAAGCAATGTAAATAATAACAAATTAGAAGGAAAAACAGATTTTTAAAAATACAGATTTCAGTATTCTGACACAGAACGATTTTAGAAGCAATGTATTTCTATTGGTAGTATGTTTCGTGCCTGCACCAAATAATAACAAATTAGAAGCAAAAAAAGATGACATAAAATACAGATGTCAGTATTCTGAGGCTCTGAGCCATTTCTTTTCCTCACTGACGGCAAAAAAACTCAGACATTATACAATTTAAAATAAAAGGGATAGGGTTAGGCTTAGGGTAAGATATTGAGTAAGAACATGTTTTTATGAACCACACAGCTTCTGGTCTTCCAAGACCCGACCGGACAAAAAGACGTGTTGCAGGCACGAAACATACTACCAATAGAAATACATTGCATTTAAAATCGTTCTGTGTGACACGAAAAAAAGGTGAAAATCGTGTTGGTGAACACGAATCAATAGATTAATTTCGTGACTAATAACACGAAATGCCGTGAGACTGGGTTGGGAGTTATAGTATAGGTTGCCAGATATGAGCAGAGGTTTTAGTTTTCGTGCAGGATTAATGGTGGTACCAAACCTTGCAACCTTACTGTTCAAGTGTTTTACAAAATAACATTAACGTACCAGCGGCGACAGCAACCGTAGTTAAAAGATGGCAGCACTGATCGAGGTTTTCTGTAACCATCCAAAGTCTTTGTAATCTGTGATTGAACTGCTTCTGTTAAGGTAAACTGATCACACATTTGAATTAGCTAGCTTGATAGGAGTTAGATGTTAGCCTGTAGTTAGCAAGGCTAGCTGTGTCCCACTGCTTCATGCTAAGCTAGGCTTAACATTCCTGCTCCGTAGTTAGCAAACAGACAGGAAGCTGATATTCATCTCTTTGCCATCTAGAAAGAAAGTCGGTTAAAACACTTATGAGTATTTATCAAAAATCTCATTGTGTAGTTATTTTATGAAAGCAGCAAAAGTCAAGTATTTTGTCAATGTCGATATAAATGATTTTTCTTCATATCGCCCAGTCCTGTGTTAGGGTTTTTATCTCTGAAATATCACTATTGTTACCCACTAAGAGATACAGTATATACAGTGGTATCAATAACACTTGGTATCAGTCAGATATCAGCCCATTCTTCCACTTCTCCGAATTAGATTTGAGTGCAACCTTCTATCTCATAGCAACCGCGTCCACACACATTAATGCAGCTTTCTGTCGTAGGAAATCCTCGTTGCAAAGCCCAGATGAATATCTTTGTTGCTGCGATACAGTAGACGAATGTCTCCGAAGACTCTGTATTGATCTCAGTATATTTAGAGCCCCATAAAGATGTTGACACAGTGATAAGCCGGCTGCCCTGGAGAACGAGTGCAGACTGAGCGAGGATATCAAGCGATTCTCCCCAGCATGGCAGCCAGCCAAGGCTTTATGCTTCCTCACCATCACACACACACACACACACACACACACACACACACACACACACACACACACACACACACACACACACACACACACACACACACACACACACACACACACACACACATCTCCCATTCAATAAGCCAGCTGTTAAGCCACACTATCAAGGCAGCCTGTCCAATAATTGGCTCCCCCCCGTCCACCCTTTTCCCCTTTTGTGTGGGGGAGGGGGCTTTGCGTTAAGCCGCAGAGCAACAGCAGATAACAAGAGCAAGTGACAAGCTCACAGTCAAAGGCCACCTCGCACAAAAGGGAGCTGCTTGATGAATCATCGACATTGGCAACATAACCCCCCCTTCCTTCGTCTCTCCACACATCCCAAATGCCAATGTCGGATCAATACCCCGGCCTCATTTGCAATTCATTATTAGCTGCTTATTTGCGGCGACCCTATTTACAGTCCGGTTATCAATAGCAACAGAAAGAAGGTGTCCGCGCTGTTTCAATGCAACACATGACGACTTTCAAGATGTGTTTACGCCTATATTGGCTGACTGGAAGCTACATGAATGCATCTTTATGTGTCGTTGCTGCTGCGATACAGTTGATGAATGTCTCCGAAGACTCTGTATTGATCTCAGTATTCTTAGAGCGAAGTAATGCAGGTGTCCACGCTGTTTCAATGCAACACATGACGACCCACAACGCTGTGTTTACGCCTATTGGCTGAATGGAGACTGGATTATTGCAGCTTTCTGTCGTAGGAAATCCAAAGCCTAGATGAGTATCTGTGTTGCTGCGATACGATCGTTAATACTTTAATGGCCAGATCAAGTGTGAAATGTGACTTGCATCACAGCAGCTCCATGTGTAACATCAACAGGCACATATCAAGACACAATACATGACAAACAAACAACAAACATTTAACATACCATCACAATCAGTGAGAGAAAGCTGCTCAAAGAGCCTTCAGCGTGCATCTGATCTGGAGCTCTGTGTTTACTGAGAGGGTTGACTGGAGCACAAAGGATGCTTCAGTCTGACTCTCCATTAGATGGTAGCAGTCCATATTCTCTGTTCAGAGCATGCTGTGGGTCCCAGATGATGCTGTTGGACAGGTTATTATGGTATGCTGAGCCATTAAGTCTCTGACAGGGTTGACCAACAATGAGCAAATACAGCAGACAAATGTCTCCGAAGACTCTGTATTGATCTCAGTCGACATAGAGCGAGGTAATGCAGGTGTCAACGCTGTTTCAATGCAACACATGACGACCTGCAAGATGTGTTTACGCCTATTGGCTGAATGGAGACTGAATTATTGTCGTAGGAAATCCTCGTTGCAAGCCTAGATGAGTATCTGTGTTGCTGCGATACAGTAGATAAATGTCTCCGAAGACTCTGTATTGATCTCAGTATATTTAGAGCGATGTAATGCAGGTGTCCACGCTGTTTCAATGCAACACCTGACGACCCACAACGCGGTGTTTACTCCTATTGGCTGAATGGAGATGTAGCCGAGGCCAAGGTTAACCCTGTTGATCCAAAAAGGACAGGCACGAGTTTGCCAGTTTTCTTGTCGGCACACAAACCCGAGCCTCCAGCTGAAAGGTGACAGCGAGCGAGACTAGATCACATCCGACAGCTCATTTCAAATGCCATTGGAAAAGGTCAACATTTACATGTCTAATTTGCCGTCTGCCCGGCTTGAGCGCTGGTGGATTATTCCCCGCCATCACTCAAATCATTAGCACATTTAGGAGGACGGCTGCTGCTGTTGCTGAATTGAAATGTGCTTTTTTTTCCTAATATGGCAGCCCCCCCCCCCCCCCCCCCCCCCCCCCCCCCCACAGCAAGAAAGCAGTGCCACGCTTTGATTTATGACACCTCCAGGAGATCTCCATGAAGGGAGCGGGCGTTTTGTGTAATGTGCCAGATTGATTAAATGTGGCTTTAAAAAGGAATGGCAGATATTTAAACATCACATATTCTTAGGGGGTTTAGCACATTTAGATGTTGTCTTTATTCCTCATCTCAGTCACTGCAGGTTGTGTGAGTATTAACACATTTATTGCACTAGGGATGTGCTTGTGCCACTGAATTTGAATATTTGTAGTAAGGATATACAAGCGTTAACGGTAGCAACTCTACAGTTTACGCACGTCAAAAAGAAACCATGAAAATGCAATGTCCGTAATATAGTCAGAACCCAATTGTACGCTTTGGAAACACGTCATAGTTCAGACTGGCCAACACAAATTGTTTTTTTTGTTCGCTCTGGGCACCTGTGCCGTAACTGTAGAGATGATTGTGTGCCATGTTTAACACACACATCCTTATTATTTTCTAAGGTAATGGCATGGACAGGCGCGCTGAAAGGAAACATCCCAAAGTGGTTGTTAACGTATGTTGACACACTGTTGTGTAGATTTAGATTAGTATTAGTACTTTTACGGCTCAGTGAAGGCACTTTCTGTTATCCAGATAGACAGCTTTCTACAGAAACGCTGATCAAAATAGCCTCACACGGGGCACCACATGTTCTCGTGTCCACAGCAAAACACACGCCAAGCATGAAGAAGAATTGGTGAAACGACCTTGGGTTTATGAAAGGCACTATTGAAATGTATGTTATTATTATTATTATTATGGGTTGGCGAGATAATTGAAACTTAGACTTAAGACGTAACCGTTGTCTCAGACCCCACTCTTTATCATGGGCAGAGGTTGGAAGTAGTGGAGTACAATTACTTTATTACTGTACTTAAGTACATCGTTCTGGTATCACTACTTTACTCCACTACCTATTTTAACACAAATACCTGTACTTTCTACTTCTTACATGTTGAACACAAATACCTGTACTTTCTACTTCTTACATGTTGAACCCAAATACCTGTACTTTCTACTTCTTACATGTTGAACACAAATACCTGTACTTTCTACTTCTTACATGTTGAACACAAATACCTGTACTTTCTACTTCTCACATTTTCCAAACAGGCTGGTTCCTTTAGTTTGAATGTGTGTTTGGTGGCGTGATCATTATTATTTAGAGTCATTGCGTGCCTATTGATTTGAACACGATCCGTGTATCCATCATTTCCTGGTCTTCTCTAAAGAAGAGGGACCAATGAAAACGTTGTCATGTTGCCGTTGTTCAGCATGGAAACATTCATTAGCTAACAATGACATTATTGTTCTATTAATATAAAGGGAGGTCAGGTACTCTTTAAAACAGCTGCTAGTTATGGGTACTTTTTACTGAAGTACATTTCAAAGCCTCTTTACTTTGACTTGAGTAAAGAAGTTTAGTCAGTACTTCTACTTTCACCAGAGTATTTTTAAACACGAGTATCTGTACTTCTACTTGAGTAAAGGATGTGTGTACTGTTGCCATCTCTGTCCTTAGGTGAGAAGCCACATCCTGTAACTGAGCGGCACTTTGTCTAACGTACCCGTTGTCTCCGACCCCACTCTTTATCATCCGTAGGTGAGAAGCCATTCGAGTGCAAGCTGTGCCACCAGAGATCCAGGGATTACTCGGCCATGATCAAGCACCTGCGCACCCACAACGGAGCGTCGCCCTACCAATGCACCATCTGCCTGGAGTACTGCCCCTCTCTGTCCTCCATGCAGAAGCACATGAAAAACCACAAGCCGGAAGACGTGCCCCCAGACTGGCGCATTGAGAAGACCTACCTGTACCTGTGCTACGTCTGAGGAAGAGAGGAGGAAGAGAGCGTGGTGGGAGGGTGGGGGTTGAGAGGTAAGGGGAATGTAATCGGGAGGATAGGAGGCTAGGGGTCAACCATTTTTTTTTTTTTAGAGAGACCCCCCGAAAAGCTAGAGGGTTTGATTTTCTCTTTTTTACTTTACATGCAAAAAGGCGGCGACGACGTCCAGCTATAAGGGTGGTGACGGAGTAACTAAGTGCTAAAGAAGAGCAGAGGAAGACTTGGACACGGAGAGAGAGAGAATCTCCATCATAGTTCGGATTCACCGGGTCATTCACTACATCTGCAAACTGTGGTTTTGTTTTAGGTCATCGGACGCAGCATGCACAGAAGTGACTTTTTTTGTAATGCTGCTGCAAGAGAGAAAGCAGATTCTCAAGGGCTGTCTGAACCTGAACCTGCTCCCATCACTCCATAGCGAGTGTTTTTTTGTTATACTTGATATTGGTTTGTTTACATTTACCCTGCAGTCATTATAGTTTAGAACAAGAGCATCAGTTGAGTCCCCTAAGTTCATCATGTCATGGTTTGCTTTCCATGCCAAAATCCTTCCAACAAACCTTCTTTTAACCACATACAAAGGTATCTTGGAGGATTTATTTTCCAACCCGCCAAACAAACTGATTAAATCATGATACGCTCCAGAGTTTGAATTATCTACTTGTGGTGGAAATGCCCCAAATCGTTTCCATTCCTAATTATTCTGTTTTGCCGCTTCCTGTCATTTCTGCTTTTGCAGTAGACACAAATTATCCCCGTTTTCTTTTGCAGAAATCCAGCAGAGAAACATGTCAATACTGTTGACAGCGGTGGCGGTGAGATAGCCCCTGAGAATCTGAGACAATATGCAGTAGATGAAGCAGTTGAACTGGATGAATGGGAGCACTAAAATACTGGGAGGGTTGAGGGGGGGGGGGGGGGGGGGGGGGAGGATGCTACTGCTGCTTTTTAGTTTGAAGTTTTCTCAGCAGTCTTCCTGGTTCTCCGTCGATGAGGGCTGGAGAACGTCGAGTCACCACTGGCCCACTTGTGTCACTTTTTCATCTTATATATGTTCTTAGCTCCGCATGGTAGTTTATCAAGGCTTGATTGCACAGGTAACAAATCACGACAACAGTCTCTGTTTGATGTCTTCAGAAATATATCTTTCATTCAATCATAACTCAATATTACAGTATACCACATTAAACCCAGCATATCCGCCTACTCAATAGCAATAGATAACTGGACTGCTTTTTATCCATGTACATTTAACCCGATGACTATCATTATCTCACACTAATGATGAACTATACACAAACTGACACGTTAAGAAAAACACTTTGCAACAGACCTGTCCACAGGGATGGAAAACAAAATGGGAAAAGGGTTGCTTCTCGTTGTGAATGTTTGAAGAAGTTGCTGGGAACACCTGAGCGTTTCCCAAAGATGGTGTGGCAAGTTGAAGACCGTTATATGTCATCAAAACATGAATGTGAGTGACTGTGAGCCGGGTTCGAACGTGGCTGTCGTCAAAATACAAACCAGGGTTAATGCTGCCCTTCATTAGGAGTCAGGAGGTTATTACTCTCCATGCCTTCATGTGTCAGGGGAGTTTTTATTTAGAAGAGGACCTCAAAACAACGGTCTTTTCCTGTAGTTATAGAGAGATGAGCAGGAATGAGTCCTAAAACCCTGAAATGAGTAATTATTCAAGCACTTCTTCATGCCTCGCCTCAAAGTCAATGTGTTCTTTGAATGCTTAGATGCCCTAAATTACGTCTGGGGTTTAGATTTGTATGTTTTGTTCTATGAGATCAAATGAGTCGGTAAATACCCCACTGATGAATGTCTAAGTATGTGTCTTTAAAAACATCATTGTTAATACGTTTCAAGTCTCAACGTCATCCCGCCAAACATTAGCCACCTTTAGCTTGGAGGTAGTTACGTGAAGTCATGATGTAGCTCCTTCATAGCCTCAAGTTAGCTTCTTACGTCTATTGATTGCAGAACAAGTATCATTTCTGCCACAGAGCTTATTTTATGCACTATTCCAAAAATCCAGCAGTAAAATATAATTGGCTTTTTGTGGAGGGAACCAGGGAGATGCTAACTTCAGGGTTAGCCTCTAAAATACGCCATCAGAGCACCACTTTTGCCAATAGTTTAAATGGTGCATATTCCAGTATGCATTGTTGTAAGCAACCATGATAAAAGTTACATGTAGAATTTAAACTACAAAACATCGGTATTTGCCAAATGTCCAACTTTCTGACGCCACTGAGGGCAGCATTGGTCCTGGATGAGTGACGCAGCCACAGGTATTAGAGATGAACCTTTTAGCGAGCACGGCGGTGATCACATATCCAAACGGCCGGTGGAAAAAGGGGGAAATCACTGATCGGACGAGACACTGCCCGGCAGCCGAGGGGCTGTAAGACGACAGAATGAATGGACTCGGTTTGTGTCCCCGCGCTTCGTCTCTCTCGTCTCCTGTTGATGTTGTTGTTAAAATGTTGTTATTGACCTTGAGTTTGATCTCAACGCATCGTACTTGAATTACCTCGTTATGTGACCTCATGTTGCTTGTGTATTTTTTTCCCTTTTTTTTTTTGTTTCATTTGTACACTTTTTATTTGTGGAAAAAGATGCATTGCACAACATGATGCAGCGACGCAGAAAAGATTAAGTGCCACGGTGAAGAGATTTCTAATGTGTTTCTTTGTGCATTACATGTTACCAAACTTGGTATTATTAACCCCGCTTGTTAAAGAGTCGGTCGGTTTGGTCATTTGTTATAAAAGCTACCTCTAAGTTGTTTTCATTTTGCATTATGTTATCATTGCTACTTCATCTCATGCTTCTGTTTTGGTTGATTTATGATTGTCTGTGTTTTTTCTAAGCAAAATGTACATAAAAGTGTAAGCGAGTACAAGAGGTTGATGGGATTTTGGAAAGTCATTCAGACAGGCGTTTATTCTTCTCGTATAGTCTCCCCCTGCCCCTCCGGCCACAGAAGAGCAGAGGAACCTTAAGTGATGAGTTGGGAAGCGGCAGATAAGAGGAAGTACTATTGCTTTTTGAGAGGGGTTCGAAACAAGAATTAAAACTTGAAAATGTGTGAATACAAGTGTAGTTTTGTAATGTGAAAAAAAAAAACGAAGGTTCATGACAAACGCTGAACCGACGAAGACAGGTTTTATTTGCAGCGATGCAGAGTGCGTTAATGGTAATCAAAAAAGAAAAAACCAAGAAGGTTAAAAATAGGGATTTCTCTCATGAACGTATTCCTGAGCCAACAGAGGCAATTTGATATATACAAATTGTGATATTTTTGTATTCAGTGTCAGTCCTTTTTCCATTTGTGGAGGGTTACAGCAGGGCACAAATATTTGTATTTCTTTTATTTTGTACCTGTTTTAGTTTTCTCTCTATGGGTGTGAATCATTTTTGCCTTGCTCCCCTTTGATATTGTTGGACAAAAAAACATGTGTGTGAACATATTGTAATAATAAGTGTTGCTTTCTTGGATGTCAATTGCATTGTAGGGTGAAGGACTAAAATCTATCCGCCACAAATTCTACGAGTGTCTGTGACAAAATGTTAAAAAAAAAAAGTTAAAAAAAGGAGAAAATACGGCACGGCAGGGGGGCGCTGCCAAACCGACCAATTAGTACTTCACAACTTTTCAATCAAACTTGACTGTCAACATGTCTGTTGTTTTGTTTTTGTATTTGAAAAAAAAGAAGGGATGGCATGTCCCGTGGTGATTTAATTCTCAAACACTGTGAGTCGAGGGGCTTTTCCCCCCCTCGTGTAATATCCACCCACTATGATATACCGCGTCAGTCTGAACACCACAATGCAAGACCTGAGCAGTTATTCCTCTCATCGTCCTCTGAATGTTTTCTACTTTTTCGTGCGGGTGAAAGAGTGCGTTAAAGAGTGCGTAACTACGTGTGTGTGCGTGTGTGTATTAGTGGAAAAATGCACTAATCAGATCAGATACAAAATAAATATTCTATGCCACTTTTTTTCTCTATGTTGGAAAAAATATATATATACATTGGCATCGATATAGTTCTTCCCTCAGTGTTCCTCCGATGTTTTCTGTACTATCTTTGTGCCTAAAAATGGAATTTGTTCAACAAAAATGTCCATCTATATCTGCTTAGTTTCCGTATTTTTCAGAAGAAAATAAAAATGGTGTCTCCAGCACACTAGGGATGTCATGACGCTCTTAGTTTTTTATTTTATTCGTTTTTAAATCCTGAAGAGAGCAGGTCTGCATTAAAACCCTTAATGCAGATGTAACTACAAATCTGCATTCACTTATTTTCTCAGGCCGTGATTTGACAAAAGCATTTATTTAGCGCCATTTTCTGGAGACTGTCGGGACAAACTCGGCTCCAGTTAATAGTTTTTCTGTAAGAAAACGAATCCCAAGTCTAGTTGTTGACTTATTTGCAACAGGTTTGCTGATGAGAGCTTAAGATACAAAAGACCTCCATTTGGGCAGGTTAGCACTAGGGAGTCCCCCTTCTGCTTTCTTCAGTTTTTTTATTAAAGTACTTTTTCCTTTTCTACACAATGCATTTAAAAAATAGGGCGGGATCGGGGGAGGGTGGGGGGTTAAATTGTTCAGAGAGGAATCATGGCATCCCTGGAGCGGGCCCTCTGTGTTTTGGTGTGGTGTTTCTAGAGCAAAGTAGCCATTTCATGCAGTGTTGCAAAAGCATGTGCCATCGAGGTCTAGACTAAAAACTGTTTTGAGTAACAAAGCACCAAGACATTGTATTTTTTTATATTAGCACTGAGGACCAATCGCCCTGTCGGACCAAGCTTAACGAAGCGTTTTATGTAACGAAGCTTTTCTCTCTTGTCTTTCCCCAGCTTTGTCTGTTTCTCTCCTCCATTGTTGTGACAGCACAAGTGCCAGTCAATTTGCTCTGTATTAAGAAAATAGTGTTTTTATTATGATTTGAATTATAGTTTTTGTCTACCTCAGCACCTAATCTTAGCCTAATCTTAGAAGGTGCCCAATTATTATTTTTTATTTTTCTTTATTTCTTATCGTTGTATGATTATTGTTTTTTTGTGAAAATGTTGCATTAGAGCTTTGCAAAAGGTCCTTTGTCTTTTCCAGCGACAACGTGCTATTTTTTTCCGTGGCAGTACGTTTTTTCCTGTTGTGCCACCAATCTATAGCCACCGTCTGTTGATAAAGAGGTTGTTCTTTTGATTTCGTTTTTATTTCCTTGTAGACTCAAGACACCTCTCTTTGTAACATTTCAGTGTTCTCTGATGGAGTGTGAAAAAAAAATAAAAAGGAAAAATAAAATATTTAATGCTGCAGGTTCTCCATGTTGTCACTAAAGTCAATGTTGTGCCTTTGATAGTGAAAAATAGAAGAAAAAAAAGAATATTTCTTTTTGCTACATCCTACTAACGGTAGATTGTTTTTTGTAGTGGAATTTTTTTGTATTTTTATTTATGAGTCTCATAATAAAATCAAATCATGATGTTCAGTTGTATACTTTCAATCTGCGGTTAGAAAAAAATAAAAAATGGACTTCATGTTGTTTTGTCTTAGCCCTTTTTCTGGCTCCATATTTGTTTCACAACGACAAATATAACTTACACAATAGCTGTGTGTGTTAATTGTACTCCTACAGTAGGGGAGAGTGGGGTAAGTTGAGCCATTTCTTAGTTATGCTGTCCTCTAAGCAAGGAGAAATGACACATAGTAAAAATGAAAGCACACACCTATAATTCAGGATGTCTCCTATCAAAGGCAATGATAAGAATTAATATTTGATCAAGGGCAGTGAAAATATTACTTCTAAAAAAAGAAATGTTGTGGATCAACTTGCCCCGGGTTAGGGGTAAGTTGATCCAGGTCAGGGGGTAAATTGAACCACTGTTCAAACCTGGGCA